GTCTCTTAAGATAACCTTTTAAGATAACCTCCCATACGTCCCTTTCCATGTCTGAAAGGTTAAATTTTGCAAGACACCAGCAAACTAACTACTCATCAGACTCCCAAATGTCTCTTAGTTTCCAACAGAAACATCACACAAAATTATTTCTGCTGAGTTTCCAGGTGTCTATGAGAACGTCATTCTAGATCCCCAGTACAATCTCTAATAATGATGAGCAGGATAGGGAGCCAGACGCACCGCTCAGTAGGTGAGAGCGCCCGCTGTTCTTGCAGAGGACCCAGGTTCAGTTCCCGGTACCCACAAGGAAGCTCACCTGTAACTCCACATCCAGGGGATCTGGTGCCCTCTTCCAGCCTCTGTGGACACCGCACACATGTGTTACACATACACACATGCAGACAAGACTCTCACACATAAAACAAATTTTTAAAAGAAGGAATCAATTCAATGGGTCCTCTATGGGACAAGGTTAAAGGAACTTTGACTTCCTGACAGCTGTTATCAGATATCTACCATGCCTTTGCAGCTAAGCCAGGGAGCATACACACTATGATGAGACTGGGGGAAAGAAAGCCATGGGTTCATCAAAAGGCATCAAAAGACAAGAGAGCTTCAGTCTTATGTACGGAAAAACAAAACTGTGTCTGCAGGCTGCCTGTGCATCCAGACTCCTTTACATATTTACACTTCCATTCATTCAGCAAATGGTTTAAGTGTCTTCTCTATGTGAGGTGGTGTACTAAGTAAATAAACGAATGTAATTTTGTTTTAAAGAACAATTTGCCACCAGCCAGACTTGTACTACAGGAAATAATACAGCATGTTCTTCAGTCAAAAGGAAAATGATCTCAGATTAAACATCAGAGGGATAGGAAAGAATGGAGAGCAATGAAAACTCCATTAACTCTGCCCCACAATAACAGTCCTGATTAGATTTAAGTATATGTTGAATGAAAACCATGACAGAGAAACTGGGAAGAGGTAATGAAGTCTAAGGAAAATGGAGTCTGCCAAATGTCTGAGAAGAAAAGGACCAGTGAACACAATGCCTTGATGTGGTAAAGATGTCTGCAGTGTTATCTAGGGTAATCACTGCAGAGTGCTCCAATAGTACATGATATTAATTACTATTGGAAGGATGGG